TTTGTTATGTGCCACTAAATCAGACAAGAAAAAGGGGCATAGACGTGACTGTTTTTCTCACCAGCCTGAACTCGATCTGCACGTCACAAGAAAAGCCTCAGGATCGATACGTACAAATTGATACCTGTGTTATCAATGCAATCCCATGACAAACTACAGCTCCCTCTCCTCTCTCACAACCAAAAGCCAGCGTGATGAACGATCACGCTACTGAGGCAGCCAACTCCACAGAATATCTGTGTGTATATCTTCAACAGAAGTGAGGCCAACTTTCCAAAAAAAAAACTCCCGGCAATTTGGCGGCGGATTAGTTTTCCTAACGGCCAGTTGTTGGAGAGAAAGGAACTAATGAATAATATTAAGAAGGCGACCCTCGTAATAAATGCAGGTTACAGCTCCACCTTAACTGCCATTTGACATAAAGTGAAACCTGGAGCCAGACGTCTGAGATTTCTCTCACTCTCTTACACACTCACACACACACCTGCATGAATGCACGTGCACACACAGACACTAAGTCTTTAAGAGTTGTGGGAATTTCTGGACTTGCGTTGAGCTGAACCATCAAAGCTGAACTTATTGGTCTTGAATGGTCCTGAATATTAATGTGTGACCCAGAGCTAAACTCCTGATCAGAAACACGCTGCATGTGCAACTGTGGACCAGATAAAATGAACAAATGCTGCTCATACTAAAACGAGATCGACAGGCGAGCGTCCATCAAGATGTATTTAAAGATATGCAACCTATAATACAATTCTTATATTGTGGGTCGAAAAAATATTTTTCCTGAATACCAGTTTACAAAAAACACAGAATTTTAAGTGATCACAGATATTACATATATTGATTTATACAGTATGTCAGCTGATAACTGACAATCAATTGCAATACAGAAACATCAAGATATGTTTGATGTTGTTAATGTCTTGATTAATCTTTTACCACAATCTTTCAACTGTAGCTTTTTAAATCAGCAAGAAGCAAACATGCAGTTATGTGCTTATGTTACAAAATATGTTGGGTTGACTAGTTGTGAGCTGGTGAATATATTATGTAATTCAAAGTGACCCTTTGTCCTTTCAGCAAGCTCTTTAAAGTCCCCCTCCACTCAAGATGTGTTTTATTTATTGCTGCTTCACTTGGTTCACTGTGCAGAATGATGTATGTGCAGTTTGTTGCGTTTCTTTGAGCTCTACTTAAATCCGAGTTAAACTTGTACGTACTAAGCAGGATTCGGAACATTACAACTAGTTTGTTGTGTGATGTGGATACTTTGTGCACAAACGCAGAGACATTCAGTGAAGTTGTATCTTGTGTCCAGCAGTTAGAACTTTTAAAACGTTTGCACATCTGGATTTTTCAGTGAGGGAGAAAGGGTAGCTCTTAATTAGAGGATTGAACCTTTTTTGTGGAAAAATCCTATCAGACGCAACTAACTAGTATTAAGTACAAGTAGTATATGTATGAAAATAATCTTCAATTTGATCAAAAACCCTACATAGACATCGTCCTCCTAATCCTCCAATCCAAAAATGGCAAGCTACTCTGTTAAGGCACCAACGGAGGGATATTTCAACTAAATGTCGGCTCACAACCCAGAACCTCAAATTATTTAAGGTCATAATGGCTTCATTTAGTTGTTGATATACAGTATGTTACTGCACCTTCATTATCAGATGCCTTATTGGGGATTGGCAAACATTATAGACTATATGGTAAAAATGCAAAACCATGGTTTCTAGTGTAAAAAAAATAAGATAAAAAAGGCCTTGCATTTGTAACTATCTCAATATAGTCTGCATAAATTGTTGCTGTATATCTGATCAAGGACTAGTACTGCATGTGAACCTCCTCTATACCTCCTCTAGTTCGGAACAGGTCGCAGTGACACCAATTCTCAATTTATTCAGTCAATTATGTCCACATTTCACAGTTGGACTCTGGTGTGATTCAGAGCCTGAAAATGACACCCTTGGATAATGAACACAGCCCACAGCGTTCACCAGCCTCCTCCAGCCTAATCAAGTCCAGGTAAAGTTCCCTCACTCCTCTTAACAACACGCCAGATGATAGCAGGACTGATGATTACACCGCCCTCGCCTGCTGCACTACATCCATCTCAGGGATGGATAGGTTTCATCCGTTTGTAAAGATCAGCTGGGGAATGCATTTTGAATGAAAATGCCCCAGCAGGAGTGTCGGAGGCCAGAGGAGTCTTCAGGGAGGAATCAATAATCTATTACTGTCAGCTTTTTCTTTGTCTGGGTGTCTGTAGACTTCTGTATAATGCAACTTGAAATTAGATTGAAATTTAAATTATTTAAATCAATCAGACAAACCCTCCGATAGCAAAGCTCAAAGTTGAGACAGAATTCCAGTCATAATAAAGAAAAACTTTCCCTTCATTGATGGCATTTTTAAGAAATTTTGATAAAATGATGATCACCAGCCAGACTCAAGACTTCAAGATTATGAATTAATCATAGTGAGTGTTTAATGTATCAGCACAGAGGGATCTTCTACACATTATTATAATCAATAAATTTAAAAAAAAAATTTTAAGGTCACAACATCTGTATTTGCACGGGCAAATACTTGGAATAGGATGTATTGACAGATGCTCTCCTAATTCTGGTAGAAAATGGAACAATTCATATACAGAACGCTTGGTTCAATTCAGACACGGCAACAACACCGTGCGTAAACAGCTGTTGCGCTTACCGACTCTGAGGACTTGTGTTGAGCTCAGACAGAGCTGCGCCGCAAGGAGAAGATAGAAGAAAAGTCTCTTTCTGTCCTCCATAGTGCTCCAGGCGAACTCACCGCGGGTATTGACACCATGACAGAAAGAAACGGCCTCTATGCAAGCGCTGGAACACCTGACGCGCCATGCCAGCGCGCAGCACAAGTTGTATTCCCAATTCGATCCTTTGCACTCTGCATCACCCCGTCGCACCAGATAAACGAAAGAATGACGACTACCAGTTACGTGGATCCAACTTTCCTGCACAAAATCAATCCGAGTCACATCTTCTGAACAACAACTGGCGGCGAAGAAACAGCGAGGCAGAGTAAGCGCGTCCACTTTTACTCACTACTGAGGCAAGAGCTGGGGAGAGTGGGAGCGCGCGGATCTGTGCCACGGACGCCAAAATGTAATTGATTTCCGGTACGCCTTTTCAAAATAAAAATATATATATTTATGTAGCGGAGAAGAACAGGGTTGGTCGTCACACTTTGTACTTTATTTGGATGCTTAACAACTTTTATTTTGATGGGGAAAATTTAAATGAGGGACTCTTAAAAATTAATTTTTGAAGTTTTTTATTGAAATCCAACAGCCAAACACATCTCCTGCATAGGGAAACATTATGAAGAAAATGATTTCCTATAAGTGCATTTTTTATCCTTGAAGTAAAAGCCCAGAAGAGAAACAGAAGAGCTTGGTATTTACATTTTGACATGACAAATATCAGTCTTACTTCTGACCTACCCTGTAGGTAACCTCTGACCCTAAAAGTATAAGCTCATGTTGCATATATGTAGCCTACTTAGGCTAAAGCTGTCCTTCATTGCATAACCAAACACCTTATTTTGACTTTATTGAATAAAGATTTGCACCATTAGTAGAAAGAATCTATTTAGTCATCTATTTAGAAATGTACTAAATCAAGTAATGCGTTTTCTCTATATTCCCTAAAAAATAGGTATCTTCATTTTTTGTTTGATAGACCAGCTTTTACACTGAATGTAGCCGTGGTCTAATTCTGGTTATCTCTGGATAGTTTTGCTCCATTCGGTTGGGATTAAGGAGCAGATGGATTAGCAGCGGCTCTCTCCACCGGTCCTGATGAGGAGAGAATAATCTTCAGGTTACAGGGCAGATGCCAGATTATCTCACTGCAGACAAGCAAGGTCTTTATCAGACTGGGTCACTGGATGCCTTCCCATCCTCAAATAACAGGACATGGGAATGTATTTTAAATAAAAGAGTCACCTGATGTGCTTTAACATCCACCTTCAAACATGAACATATTTAATCATCTTTATAGAACTGACTAAATACTATATTTTTTAGTATTATTTTGTTATTGGAGTAGCATAAAACATCTAGTCACTGCTGGATTTCTAAAGCTGGCCAACTCTACACTGTTCTGTGATGTGACATTTGAAAAAGGCAAAGATTCCAGGTGCCCGCCATCTCACAGTCCTGCTCTCCTCAAGCAAATTCTGCATTACGTCAGAACTGACATTTTGGTTATCACAATGTTTGTAAACTCTCTCAAAGCTGGCAGCCAGAGTGAGGTGAAAAAAAAAACCCTGCCAACTTCAACCTGACAAACAGCCTATGGACAAAATTAATTAACTCAGAAAATGACCATCCAGCCTCTCCAGAAGGAGTCCTTGGGCTACAGCCTGAACGCCAAACTTGCCTGATACAAATACTGAGCAGAATTCTCTCCCTGTAGCGCATCTGGTAAATACCGTGCATGTAAATGTCTGCTTGAGCTGCAAAATGAGGACTACTTCACATTGAAAAAATACATTTTAAAACAGAGAATTTTCTTCAAACATTATTGGCCCATTCTGGTGAGCCACATTTAATTTCAAGGAAATGTCTTACTTTACTGCATTGTTTGTGTCTAAATTACTTTGAAATGTATATGTGATGCATTTTATTTTATATCATGCAGCAGCTTTACTAAATCAAACCACTTCCTTTTAAAGTTTCAACTGCCGCTACTTTCATAATATTTGTTCAGTTATCCATCAAAATATGCAATACCTGGAATTCAACAAAATACAATTTAAGACAGCAATTGAATCTGCAAAATCATCTGGCATCTCTCATTTTTATTGGATCAACTGAACGTTATCTTTCCTTTGAAGGAGAAAAGTGGGTTCTCTCTGCATCAGTGTTGTAGGAGAGGGAAAGCAGCCCTTTGGCATCAGTCACGTGAATAAAATGAAAAATAATTAGCACCATCACACAAAACTAAATTTAGAAAATTTATTTTAAACAAAAATGATAATACTCCACAGTTTTATGTACGAACACAGTTTTAAAAGTACAAAGGGAGGAGTCAAAGGGGTTCTCACAGGATTTGCCTCCAAGGCCAGGTGATTGTGTCTCACAGTCTGAGCGTCCATAATGGGCATCATCACCCAGAAAGCTAAATTCTAAGAAACCAGCATCATAATAAAAAGACAATAATAAGAACATCCAAAGTGTATTATTTCCCTCCAATCACCTCACACTCTGAATCAGAGTAGCTATCAGATTCTCTCCCCCCCCCCCTCACATTTGGGTATTAAGTGCATGTTCAATACATCCATTAAGGTGTGCATGATGGTGTCGAGCTCTGCGATCAGGGTGTTGTTGTGACGACATAGTGAAACAGCACAGCCTGTTGGAAACAGGGAAGAAATGCAGAAGGGGGAAAGTGGAAATATAGTAAGGATTGGCGTCAAATGTCATGGATGTAAAGTCTCAGCCAGCTTGTCCGTGGTTGTGATGCTTCTTGACATGACAAAAGGTCAAAAGGAGCTGGAGAGAGAGAGAAGATGATGTCGTCTGAATCGGTCAGAGGATGACAGGTCAACTGCATGATTGAACTTCTCTATGGAGTTGCAGTGCAGTCACTAACATGGTTCTATTGAATACCTCCTTTCAAAACAAAGAAAAAAAGTCAAGTAAAACAGGATTGTTGGAGGAATTATGCTATTTTAAGGATTCAAGGTATGGCATATTCAAGAATACGGGGCATGATGAGATCATGGCCTCTCGGGCAAGAATGGATGCAGTATATTAAGGACATTGATCAAATCCATTAGTTACCAAAATAACAACGGAGTGTTATTGGAGGAACTATATTAGAGACTGGATAGTCATGTGAAGGGCACAAGCGTTGGCTCTCTCAAGCCTGTTTCTGGCACCAAACACACAAAAGGTGGTTTGGAACACTGGGCAGCCGAGTGTGGTGTAAACATTAAAAAATACAGTAAAAAGGCAATAATTAAATACATTTGTATACTACCTTGTACAAGAATATCCTAGGAGACAAAAGTGAGCATCAAAATATTTCATAGAAGAGGTTAACGGCACTCCTTTGTACTCCTGACTATACACCAATGTGCAGCTGATATTAAGTTAAAACAATAAAAAGCACAATAAAGCTAGTTATATCTTCTCGCCATCTTCTTACACAGCAGTCATTAAGCCAAAAGCCCCTGAAGAGAAGTTCAGTAACACACAGCCCTTCAAAATACAAACACAGTTTCTGAGTCAGAAAAATATAACACCCACATTCCTGTGTTGAAAAATAGACATTTTAGCCACAAGACCACAGATCAGTGATGCCTCTTCAGTACAATGGGTGCACAGTACAGTAGCTGCCTATAGAGTCTGTGTAGTTTATGTATGTATACTTACAGTGTACATACACACACTTACTTGTGTACTTGCGTGCACATGCAGTGCTGTTGTGTTCATATGTTCACATACAATTCCACAGGTGTGTGTATTACCTGGGTGTACGTCTAAAACAGTAAGGACCATGTATTGTTTTGGCTTCACTTTTAAGTAGTTTGGGATGAGTACATTTTACTTTTCCTTATACTCGCTGTGTTTCAGTACTTTAGGATTGTCAGTACAACGCAGATGCAGGTTAGGTGGGAAGAGGAGGGTTGTGTAGTGATACAGGGAAAACTGGCTGAGGTTTAATACCTTCTGTACACAAATACCTCCAAATTCTACATATTTAAAGCTTGTAACTAATCTCTCCCCCATTTTCTTGCCCTCCTACTTTATGTAAAAAGTGGAAGAAGCCACCCTTTGTCTCTTTTTCTTCATCTCGCTTTCTACAATTCCCAATCAGAAGACGTCACTGTTGCACCCGTTGGCAAAGTCGTCCCGCCGCACCCAGATGACATCGTGGTCTTTATTTGTGGCCCCCCCCACAGCACACTGCTTCAAGGGGGCAAGCTTTAGATTCGGGGTTGCACAGCGAGACAGAGAGACACCACAAGAGGTGAAGGAGTCCAACAAGCCTGAATCATCACCATGTTTTATTCGATCAACTTCCTCCTCCTGCATGACACTCAGCATTATCTCACTTTCAGACTCCACTCGTCCGTTCAGGTTGCGGCTCCTCACCTCTGCGACCCGAAGGTCGAGTCCCTCCATCCTCCCCTCCAGGTCGGTCGGCTCTGCCGAAGCGGCTCGGACAGACTCGCAGTACTCATCGTCGTCGCTCAAAATGTCCGTCTCCTTCATCTGCCCCACGTCGATGCCCACACCCCGTTCGTCATAGCAAGCCAGGTCAAACTGCTCCTCCACCCAACGGTCCGTGTCCTCTCCTTGAGGTTTGTTGGATTGAGGAAGAGCATGCTGGGACAGAGGCGGGTAAGAAGACTGGTGGGACGTGTCCGAATCGTTGCCGTCTTTGTTGCCATGGAAAACCAGGTCGGTGTCGATGGTGAAGCGGTTCCTCACTAGTTTCCTGCGGGACAGCGTTCGTGATGGAGGTGATGCTAAACAGGCAGAAAGAAAGATAAAAGAAACCGTCTTGTTAATGTCTTGTACAAACATTGTAGGCCCTTGTTGTCCCGTGAACTAGAAGCTATAGTTAAGCTTTGTCACCTGCTCGGTTCATGGCGGACCGCATTCCTTTTAGGGCACACAGACGTTTGCCCCCAAATGGAACGTACTGCTGGTTGGGTGGCAGAGTCTCTGTATTAAGAAACTGCCGGCGCTGCTTGTCCCTAAGGATGGAGTGTACTGCTTTCAGGAAGTCCTTCTTACTATCTGGAGAACTGCAGATTAGACCAAAAGAAAATGTTTTGTTCACATGATTTCAATACATGTGTACAGTTTTTGAAAAAGAAAAAAAGTAATACCTGCAGCACAACTGGAAGGTTCTCTCTGGTCTTCCTTCAGATTCAGATCTGGTGTGAACTATCTCACACGCCACTGTACCCTCAGAGTCTGAGAGGAAAATAGAGATGTCATCTACATTCATTCAGTTAATTTAGGTCATCAATTTCTTCCCTCTTATACAATAGGCCATTTGGCAGATTAAAACAATGATTTAAGGTTCATCTAGAACAGAGATGTGAGGAAGATTGCATGCAGACATATTGCTAGGTATCCATTTGTTTTGCTTACAAAGGTTATCATATATTTTGTGCGAAAGAAAACCAGCAACACTGACTCCAGAGCCTTTGTTGCCACCGTCAGAAAATAAGAAGTCATCAGAATCATCCTCTCTGGTTTGGATGACATACTCCCTTACATGCAAATTATCTGTTACTGTGCCTTCAAAATAGAAATGCTGAAAACATTTTTTCCTAAAGAACAATATGCTCAAGTTATAAATTAATCTGTTGGGGAAAGAAGCAATAATCTAGTTCAGGCACAAGCAAGATACTATTTGTAAAGTCCAGTGTTGCCCTTGTGAGGACATATTAACTTTGATTAATATCAAAGAATAATGTGTAATACATTCATGTATTTATTAAAAAGCACCATCTGTAGCACGTGCAAAAATCACCGCACAAGTTTCCCCACTGAACAGACTTGTATTCTGGATGAATGACAATATCAATTATGAGATCTATGCTTCCCAGGCTAGACAAATTAAAGTCTCCACATGGCGCCTCAAAGAGCTTCGTCTAAACATTTCAACTCTTGTCCAATTCATAACTTTGACTAAAGACCGTATAATTCAAATGTTTTGCTAATGGGATTTGATCGTACAGATGATCTATTCCAATTATGTTGGAGCTCTTTAGTCACGGATAGTCACAAGAAAAACCAGTATCAGTGAGTTGGCTCCTGCATTTAACTTCTTTCTTGTATGGCTACCTAAATCAATTTTCTTTTAATACAAGTCTACTAAGTTGGGGCAAAAAAACAACCACTACTTAATGAGGAATGGTGATGCAAGATTAGAAAATGACATTTTCTGCACGTTACTGTATTTAAATAGACGTACTTGCAAGGGCACGGATTTGGAGCGAGTCTGTTGCGATCATGTGACGGAAACGGAAAGGATCTTTGTCATCAATCACAGACGCACGGTGAGATCCAACCTGAAAAAGACGGACTGGTTGGATATCCAATACATAACCGCTGCAATACATCAAGATGACAGCAGAGAGCAGAAGAGTGCAATGACACAAGGTTGGTTTAACAGACACACCATCCACCATACTGTACTTTATTGTAGTGTACAAGGGGAATAGCAGCAGTGTGCATATAAAGTCTCTTCAGTCTATTCAATTGCCAAAAACTACCCTCATTCAATTCAGTCTATTGTCCCATGATGAAAGACATTAACCTTAATTCCTTCGTATTCTCAATGTGCCACCCAAAACAAAAAGCAATTTAAAAGAAAACCACTTAAGAGAAAGCCCAGAGCCCCAAATCCCCACAGTACATCCAACAACAAAGTGGTTCTCTGACTGGATTCATCAACAGAAAATGGGGAAAAAAACAAAAAAAAAAAATAGTACTTACGATCTTTTTCCTGTGCTTGGAGCTGTCTTTGTACACAAATACAACTGCTGTTTTGAAAACTAAATGAGGGCAAAGGAAAGATGGAAACCATTAGGAGGGTCTGCTTTCATTCATCGCAGACATCAAAATAGACACTTTATTCCTCGATTTACTAGAGTGGCAGCTTGATGCACCATGTCAGTGGAGGCTGACATGGTGCAATATGGACTAAAAGCCACGACATTGCATGAACAAAGCAACCTCTGCAACTCACCATCGCCTTGCCAGGAAAAGCCCTTATACCATGTACATGAAATATGCATTGCCAAAAGTGTCTGAGCAGAGTGCAATTTTAAGACACAGGACAGTTCTGGGTGTGTGAGAATTTCAAGTAATCCCATTAATGAAAAGCTAACATGCTGCATTTCACATGAAAAGTAAGAAAATATGTTATATGTTATATGGCCGACTGGGTTTTTCCTTTTAACAAGTCTATTTCCTCACCGTCTGAAATAGCACCCAGTCCCACACTATGCATGGCAGTATTATGTGGGATACAGTGAAGTGTCGCGTGCCTGCAAGCGTTATGCAGTGTTTCTCCAGGGCAGGGAACAGTAGACACACAGTGGCATTGCTCTTTTGTTTGCAGAGAAACCGGTAACTGCATATCTACTGTATATGGACATATTCGTTTACTCATCACAGTGTTTTAGTATTTAACACACAGGGATGAGCGCTCTGCAGATCATGTGTCTATTTGAAATCCTGCAGACGTGACAGGATTTTCAATGTTATATAATATGTTGACCAATCAAATACATAAAAGATGCAAAATTGCATGTCATCGTTTGAAGAGTTTGACTTAAAAATGAAGACTGTGGAACTTTTTTGACCCATTATAACTCTTAAATGTACATCAAGTGGAGCTGCAATGCAACCAAAACTAATGCAATATATTCTACTTTTAAGAAGCTTATTTTATGTCTTCGGTACATCATTATGCTACGTTAGGATTTACTCTCAGGCTGTTGAATTTTAAGTGCATTGGATATACATAGTTAGGTGGATCTATAAAAGCTGTTAAATGTATAAATAATCCCTCAGTCTAGCTGTAATTATGTAGAAGGTGTCTATGCCCATTAAAGAGCTGAAACTTTTGAAAAAAAAAAAAGGTTTCAATCCCCCCCAAAAATATTTTATAAGAAAGACTAGTAGAGGAGAATCAATCCTACAATATAATCCAAAATCCACATTAAGCCTTACCAAAAGCAGCCATATCAGGGTCCTTTTTGCTCTTGACCAAAAAGGCTGGAGGGTTGATCCACACCACAGTAGAATGTAGCAAAAGATCCCCCATCGAGAGGTCAGCCACCTGAGACATTTGGAAGTAATTCAACAGATTGTAAAATATTCATTTAAAATATTAGATAATCTATTGGATTCACAACAGATCCAGCCTTTAATAAAATGTGCACGATCATGTTTACCTCTTTCTTATCCGCAGTCTGGTCATTGATGAGCTGGTCGAAAACAGCTCCGTACTCCTCGTGAAGCTTTTGCATCTCGTTGATGTGGCTCGCAACTTTATTCATGGCCTTCATTGCAACTGAATTGGACAAACATTCATCATCTCCAAATCACAATTACCATAATTTAATGCATCTTCATTAATTACAGTTCCATGGGTCTGGAGCTTCACAGCAGTTAAAAATGTGAATAATAAAAAAACAATGGCTTACCGTCCAGGTGGTAGTGTTCCTCACTGTCAGGGTCAGTGAGAGAGTAGAGCTCCCTTAGCAGCAGCGGGTACTTCAGGACCCTCTGGATGGGTTTGATCAAGTAAGACTCCAGAGTGGATGAATGTTGCTGTCTGGGGTTTCTCTCAGCCAAGAAAGCCTTGAAATCTGGGTCGGTTTTCGCTGGAGGAGCAGAAATATGAGCATTTGTTCATTTTGTACAAAAGGGAGAAGTAACACAAACTGATACAGGCAGCTGCATCTAAAAGATGAAGCCTCTGTACCTGTAAATAACTTGAAGTGACAGTAGCAACCAAAGCAGTAAATGCAAAACGCAACTGTTCTTTCAAATGCCTCGCAACTCAACGCTGTAAGTCTCAAGTTTATGCCTCACTGTGTGCCGATACTAGTTGCAGCTTGCCTTTCATACTGCAGGGCATGGGAATAAAACAACATGCTTCCTGTACTACATAAGCCCCTCAGCTATCACATGCCACTGATGGTAGAGAGCAATGAACTACTGTACAACTTCCAGAGGAGCATGTGGTGGCTCTGTGCTTGATGCCAGTCGATTTTGTGTGCATGTTTTTACCTTTAGCCAGGACCTTGGGGACCTTGGTGTGGCTGGCGCAGAAGGCGCTGTAGATCTTGAAGCGATCGGCATAATACAGGAATGAACCCCCCAAGGAGAACAGCACTTTCTGTGGAAACACACAAGCATTGTATGCCATCTCAATAGAAATATCTTTGCTCATAAATCGAGGCTGCACCATAGTAAATGGAATCACTTTTTAGCAAAGGTTTTACTCCACTAGAAGTTTCAAGTGAATGTGTTTTGTTTGAGGCCCTCAGCAGTTAGAAAAAAAATGTACATCAGGGCAAACATGTCTACAGAACTGCATAAACACCTTAAACCACATAGCCAGGTCTAAACAATAGTAGCTCGAAAGTGTTATTAGAGGATTAAAAATAGAATGAACATATTGATGAGATCAACGTTCCCTTACCTTAAACTGTTCCACCCTTTCCAGTCTGTCCAGATTTGGCACCAGTCTGATCCCATCTTCCAGTGTCCGGAGAAACTCCACCTGGAACTCCACCATCTCCCCGAGGTTACCGAACAAAACGTCCAGCTACAACACACGCAAAGCATCGTTCTGACACGGTTACCACCTCAAGAGCAATGTCAGTGTTTCGGGTTATGTACATCTACAACAATTCGTATACAGTTTTTTTTATTCTTGGATTATACAGGTCAGGTAGAAGGTACCTCATCCTGTGTAAGGAAGCTCTCCTTCTGCAAAGGTGTCAAGTAGCACTCTATGAGGCATCTCAGGTCCTGAAAAAGACAAGGGATAGGAACAAGATTAGTCTGTGATCAGATGTTGAAGGAAAAATGGGGAAGAGCTTGTGTGGGCGTCTCTTGAAGGCAAGGCTGTTTAATTTGGCGTCTTTACTGAGGATTTTAAATTTAAAAAAAGAAATCATCTCTCACAGGTATGAACATAACCCACCATGACACCAAAATCATGTTAATCTGCATGCCCATTACAATGATGATGACACCTCAAACAAAAAGTTTAATATAATTTTACCAGCAACAATATGAGATTGTGTGTCCGTTACCATCAAATAGACACAAATATGACTCACTAGGTATCGATTTGGTAAAGATTGTCTTAACGCTCCAGGAGAGCTTATACTGACTTTGACGTAAGTCCTCTCTGTCTCCACGAGTTCATTGATGACCTTGCGGAGTTTGTCTGCGTGGGAGAGCTGTCTCTGGGTGGCAATGCCTGCTGTGGGCGGTAGAGCTGACACAGGGCTCGGGGAGAGGGATGACGAGGACGACGATGAGGACGACGACATGGGGCACTCCAGGGGATTCATGTCATGGAGACTGCGGCAGAAAGCCGTGACCTGCTCTGTGCTCTGTACAGAAAGAGACAAAGAACATGTCACTCATCAGTAGGATTTCTAAAAGGGGGATTTTATATCAGAGAAGACTTCCATAAGTGCATTTTTGACACGATACAAAGTAGAGCTAAGCGGACAGAGAAATACAACAGAAGCAAAAACATAAGTCATCATGTAATGGGTGCAGCCAAACTTGAAAATATGCCCCACCACCACCACAAAACATATAGTGTACAGGCTTGCAAAACCTCCCATAACACCACCCCAGGTATAAATGCCAAGCATGTGCAGACCCGCCAGGCCAAACTGGTACCGTAGTGGGCCTAATGTTTAAAAGAAAAAAGTAGAGGGCTCTTCCCCTCTGCCTCTCTCTGGCTTTACACCAATAGCAGTTAAGATTTGCTGCTACTCTTAAAAACTAAAGACTCCTACATTCATTATTCAGTACCATGCTTTGCAAAGTGAGGGTCAACACTGGGTCAACAACTTCTGGAAAAAGCTTCGATGAATTTTCTTCCATACTGAGGTGCAACAGCAGTTTGAGAATGACAAACCGGAACCCACGCAAGAACATGAATAATTGGGATCAAGAGGCTCTGTCCACATTTGACGGTTTCTTTCATAGTTCCAAGGCTGCGAAGGTGATGCAACAGTGCGTAGGCGAAGGAAGTGACATAGGAGCGTCATCTAAAGCGAGGCTGGATGTGCAAATCTGAAATGCACTGTGAGTAATACAGCAATAATTCCTAAAACACCAAAAACTATTACAAACCTTTCCAATGTCTGTAAATACAACCTAATAATCTATTTCTTAAGATCTCATATTCCATTCTCTCAGTGGATTTATATGAAACCTTGATGAATCTGTGGTTTCATGGGATTGTTTGCGGGCCAAGTCCAGGCAGGTCTGTTAAGAGACAGCTTATCACTGCCTCCACTCAGCCAGGACTAGTACATTAAAATAACAATTAGAAAAAATAATCTCCTTGAAATGTGGAGGACTGACTGACTCAGCCCACACACTGAACACTAATTGCGAAAGATTCGTGTTCCATGTTTCATTTAATATGACTCCTATCTAAGACCTCCAATACACGCCCAATTCTTGCCTTTACTAAACCTTTAAAGAAATTGGTTAGGCAGGACAATTACTAAGAATCCCCTGTCTTGTGAGATATTTAAGACTCAGTGAGACACGGTGAGCCATTGCAGTTGATCGGGTGATCTGTATCTGCAGAAAACACAACGCAAGGATCTGATTTTCAGCCATTGTTTTGTTTGATAAAATGTATGTTTCCAATTCAAAACGGCAGTCATCAGTCTTATTAATAAAAGTACTGTTGCAAATGTATGCTACTCAAACATCCCACATCTGTGTGGAGTCAGTGAAGGTGTTTATTAATTGTAATCCGTGAAGAAACACACAGCGCCTGCTGGTGTGTTTCTACTGACTGATTTGCAGACAGCTGGTCAGCTGAAAGACATGGCTTGTCTTTGCTGATTTCATGGGTGGTCGCCTGTTAAGCTGCAGCGATGACAAACACAATTTTCCATTGTGGTATTCAAACCAGTTTTGCAACACTGCTGGGTACACACGCACGCACGCACACACGATTTGCTGGTACGGAAGTTCCTCATCAAGTCAAGATGAGCTCCTTACGTCACTAAAACGATACCAACAACAATCACACAAGCAACCAAAAGTATGTAAGACAAGTAAAATAAAATTAGCCTGCTTATCATAAAGCCTGTCCAAGTCATTCACGCAGCATTGTGAGCATCCCTCCCAGATGGTGAGTCATGCAAGAACATCGACGACAATTTAAAACTCCTCCTTAAAACAGAAACACACAATGTATTATTTAAGTTGAGGTCAACATTTAAATATGTAATTCCTGTTAAAAATATATATTGCAGAAAAGAAATTGATGCATGGATCAATGTGCACGAAACACTGATCAAACCCACACACACACACACACACACACACACACACACACACACACACACACAAAAGAGCAATAACATTGACAGTCTAGTCACTTTCTAATCTGCGATCTGGTAGCATAAATGTTGACACACGGCAGTAATTAGACCGATTTAAACGGATTCAATTTAAGATAAACAACTGAGCACAAGTGATAATACATCCCGATTGTTAGATTTGCAGCACAGTGATGCTTTTTTAATGACACAATGAACAATGCTTTACTCGTTCCATTGAAATATAAACAGGGGGATATAAGGTCTGAACCCTGAAGTTCATGTTATCACAGTGTGTGATGAGTCAAAAATATTCCATTAGTTGTTAGAATGGGTTGCTCTGATGGGAATTGAACCTCTAACCTCGGCACTGTTGGTACCATCACAAAATCCCTGAGCTCTGCAGGATCATATCCACAACACAAGGACACACACACACACCTCACCAGCTGTAACATATCATAGATGGATTCGGTCGAGCGTCTGGAGTTCCCGCTCCTCCTAAAGGCTGACATGCTGGCAGGTCAAACAAAAAGGTCAAGGAGAAGTCGGGTGTTTGTTTTCTGTCCTGCCTTTCCTGTCCAGGTAGCTTCCATTCCTCCTTCAATACCTCTCAGAGCCAGGAGGAATCGTTTTTACAGTATCTTCTGCCAAAATGTACAACTAATACACTGTGCAGGATGTTGAACACGTCCAGCCAAACTGATAAAAAAAAAAGTGTAAAAGAAACAATACCCGATATTCAGCTCTCACACCGCTCCGCAAAACACTATTGCTGGTAAAATGATTACCATTGCAGCTGTACAAATGGGTCAAAACACTTATTGAATAGAAGAGATTGCAGTAAAAAACAGCACCCTCATGTCACTTTATCCTAAAGAGTCTATCCTATCAGTCTCTCTGTCTCAATCGCCCTACTGCCTCTGCATGTCCTTGTCCTGTCCTTGTTGCTATGTCACGTCTGTCCAGGTGTTCGAGAGCAGCTTCAACGGAGAATACAACATTAAATAACAAGATCAAACATCACATCCCCACGAGACATGGAAGCAAAGAGGGGAGGAGAAAGGAGAGAGGGGGGGGGAGGCTGAGGAAGTGGTGGGTGGTGAGAGCCAAACACAGGACTACAGGAAGCGCATGAAAAGACAACAGGCCTCTCTCTCTCTCTCTCTCTCTCTCTCTCTCTCTCTCTCTCTCTCTC